TCCAACGCATTCTTGTACAACGCATTGATGTCACTCCGGGGAGCAATGATCAGATGGGTCGAAAGGTCGGGACGTAAACCCTCCACGAAGCGTTTGCATCGCTTCTCCACGGTCGGTACGAGGTCTAGCCCAAACCCCGCGAGCTCGTCAAACTTCTGACGATACTCAGGCAGTGTGAGTTCACCCTGGGTGAACTTCAAAAACTCCTCCCGCTTCGCCTCGACGAAGTGCTCAGGGATGTACTCTTCGTGGAAGAGTCGGTCAAATCTGCACGGGCTCCGGGACGCCTGCTCCCACACGCTTCCACCAGTCGTAGGCGGAATCCTGAAGTAATGCGACTGCGAGGTCGCCACGCTGCTCCTGTGGAACCCTCAGGTTCCCCAACACTCGGATGGTTCGCTCAAACCACCGTTTGGCAATCATGGGGTCGGCGATCTGATCGCCCAAGAATTCCTCAGCTCCATTCTTCCGGAGTTTCTCGATAGTGACCACCGCCACTGGTGGCGACGGTGGCGGCGGTGGTGGCACGTAAGCTCCAGCCATCTGCTGGAGGAAGTTCATGAAGTTAGCCGCGAACTGCGGCTGGACAATAGGGATGGCTTCCGGTATAGGGCCCACGCCTGGGACCGCCTGCTCGGAGGCCTGCTGAGGTGTGAAGCTCGATGCTTCAGTGGGCACGCTCACGTGCTCAGGCTCCCCCTCTGGGACCGCCTGTCCGTCATTGCCAGCTGCTTGACTCATTCTCTAAGGGAATAACTTAAATCAGAACTAGTTATAATATGACATACATGTGATCTAAATAACGGTGTACCTTTCCCTGGGAGTGATGCGATGGGAGATGCGGCTGTGGACTTTTGACGACAAGTTGTGTTTTTTTTTTTTTCAAAAACCGAACCTCTCTGATACCAAATTGTAACACCCGCCTTCCGTGGACCCGGTTCACCCGCGACCCAATGGACCGGTAGGGTTACATGGACAGTCCGAGAACCATCCGTTACGAAAACATCAATGATTATTTAATAAGAAAACGGTTGGGTTTTATTTAGAGGAATAAATGCCAGGGAGCTACTCCCAAAACGTGTGTAATGAAAGTGCAGAGTACTTGCGGAAGTAATTAAATAAGTTCAGTCCAAACTAAATACCAACAAGGGTGGGTTCATGCCCAATTGATTAATGAAGTTATTGAAAGTAATTAAGAGTTCGTCTGTGCGTCGCCCATCTCCCCATCGTCACCGCTCTCCAGGGTTGGCACCTGCTCCGTCATGTCTACCTGCGTGTAGCAAAAACGACTACACGCTCAGCAAAAGCTGAGGAGTGAATCTAACAAAAGAACATGAAGTGATAACCCATATGGCTATACCCACATCAATACATGTACTTAACGTACGGAACACCACATGTTACTAACTGTTTAGTTTTCACCTGTTAAAGCTGTCTCGAATAACAAGGAACACAATGATGATGATATGACTTGATGCATGACTTAAACTATCAGCGACACCCCTGGCTTAGTCTTACTCGACAGGATCACCCCTGCACTCCTGTCATCGTCCCCGAACGGTAACGAGCCGGGCACGATGAAAACATCGCGAGTGGACTAGCAAAACCGGGTAGTAGCCGTAACCTGACTACTATGTACGTACACAAGCCCAACATGATGAAAAACCCGCTGGTCCCCAAAGGTTCCTGGACGGGCCCACTGTAGTAGGCGCTTGAAGTCCTCCCTACAGCGGTATGCATATGATGGAAACCTAGAACATCCGTCTAGAACGAACATGTTGGAATGAATGCATTGATTAAAGAATATTCAATTCTTACATATGTGCTTGATTATGATTTGTTTAACATGATGGCCATGGGTTCAGAACTGGCTGATAATCGATTATCTGCTGTTGATAATCGATTATCATGCTGTGCAGCTTCTGACCCCAAAGTCCTGCAGACTGTGATAGTCGATTGTCACCTTATGGAAATCGTGTAGTCGTTTTTGCTGCACGCAGGTAGACATGACGGAGCAGGTGCCAACCCTGGAGAGCGGTGACGATGGGGAGATGGGCGACGCACGGACGAACTCTTAATTACTTTCAATAACTTCATTAATCAATTGGGCATGAACCCACCCTTGTTGTTATTTAGTTTGGACTGAACTTATTTAATTACTTCCGCAAGTACTCTGCACTTTCATTACACACGTTTTGGGAGTAGCTCCCTGGCATTTATTCCTCTAAATAAAACCCAACCGTTTTCTTATTAAATAATCATTGATGTTTTCGTAACGGATGGTTCTCGGACTGTCCATGTAACCCTACCGGTCCGTTGGGTCGCGGGTGAACCGGGTCCACGGAAGGCGGGTGTTACAATTTTCAGAGAGCCCTGATAATCGATTATTGCCTATGTGATAATCGATTATCAGTGAAGCCAACTCCGACCCAAGAATCCGCAGGGCCTGATAGTCGATTATCACATATGTGATAATCGATTATCACGCTGTGCTAAATCAATTGAGGAGTCCAGCGTGGCCTGATAGTCGATTGTACTATCCTCTAACTCGATTATCAAGGCACGCTGATTTCCATTCTATCTGTTTGTTTGTCATCAAACGTTGGAAGTTTTAGAAACGAATGTTTATATTTCCATGCTAGATAATCGAATAATTTACAAGGTCCCAAAACATTTATAATAACGAGTACATAACTTGATAACATGGACACACGTATGTTTGATGGTTAACCTACGAACATGCATAGATTCTACGTAGGTTGCGCACGATATTCCTATGAATATAACGACATAGATTATAACTAAATGTTCTAGAATTAGAGGGACAACTACTCACCTCTAAATGAAGGGATTGATGGAACGAGATGAACGAATGGTGCTAACGAACGGACAAACAACGACCACGCTTCGCACGACGGCCTAGCTCCTCTACTCCCTCAAGCTTGCACCCACCGGAGCTTCGCCAGAGATTCCTGAGCTGCTGTTTGCCTTGGCCGAAAATGAGAGAGGGAGAGAAGATGAATGGTGATGATGGAGTTGATGATTGAATTCACAAAATGGGGGTTACAACAATAGGAGTTTTAAGGGTGGAGAGTGATGGGGTTTTATGGTGATTAAAAGACAATTAAATGGGAAAGATGGGGGGTTGAGAGGGCCGAACCAATTGCATGGGGAGTTACAAATACTTATTTACTCCGTATTGTAAAATCTGACCTGAACGGCACGCGCTTTTTCCCCCAAACAGGTCCGAATTGGAATCCGTTTGCGTTTCTGGAATCAGACAGTCAAGACGAATTTAATGATATGATCAAATAAATTTTCTAAGAACTCTTCATTTTCCCAACCCCGGTCCGGAACAGTAATTAATTAATTAAATTAATCAATTCTATTAGACCGGGTTGCAGGGCGTTACACTTCACAACTCCTACTCTTTCATTGCAAATCATTCTTCAATTTTTCATAGCTTTCAAGAGCCATTTTTGTGAAGCCTGTGTTGTGTTCTTGAGCGTTCTTAGTTTACTCATTATCCACTCTAAAAGAGAGTATTGTTCTTGAGAGTTTTTAGTGTTCTTAGACACTTGACAAGAGAAGGTATCTCTCTTGTTGTTCGAAGGAAGGGTTGTTTCCTTCGAAGGTTCGTTGAGGTTCGTGTGACTCGAATTCTCTAGTTGTACGGGTTTGTTAAGCACCGTTAAGCTTAACGAGATAGTAGTGTAGCTCGAGAGAGTCTCTCGGGAGGCTGGACTAGCCACAAGTTGTGGTGAACCAGGGTAAAATTGGTGTGCCTCGTTCTTTTCTCTTTACTTCTCGCTTATTCATTTTTATTCCTGCGATTTCTTGATCAAACGCTATTCACCCCCCCTCTAGCGTTGGTCTATTATTCTAACA